CCCCAAAACCCCAAAACCCCAAAACCCCAGATGGATAGTGGAGGATTGAAACTTAAACTAATTCACCAATAAAACTTCATAAGCAACTTTTAACCCCTTCTTAAGATGGATTATCATAGCTCAGAGTGTTGCTGTTACTTTTTAGTTAACTCGATGATTCAGTCAATCCAATATTAACACTATTTGCGCTACCTTGGTCTTGAAGATTAGATAGCTCTGAAGAAATTGACCTTACTTCACTCGAACTTTCATCCAAAATTTCAACAGATTTTTTTTGTGGAGAGATACTTAGGCTCTTATAAGTCTTCCATTCTGTCATAATTAGCTTCATCATTATGATAATTGCTCAGAGAATACTTAAAAACAGAAGTATCTTCCAAATCAAAGAGGCATAGCTCTCCACAGGGTCAATAGGTCTTTCTGACAAATTGATAATAATAGGATCAATCTCAGAACAGTTTGATGAATCAGTTCCATTATATAATGGTAAGAAGTACTCTACTATCCGAGATCTGATGCATTCCTCATTCAGATGGTAATAATCAAACCCTTTCTCTTCAACAATAGCAGTATGAACAGTTACTTTCTTTTTCCAATAGAGCACATCCAATTCCCAAAATCCATAATCAAACTCTGAAAAGAGAGCTACGATATAAGAATAAAACAAGGCGAAGATTCCTCTTAACCAAGCAGCTAGTGATATCTCAAAAACATTAGTAGAATTAAAGTATTGACCCAATACTGGTATATAAATTAATTTGTGCAAAATACTCATTAACCTGTTGTGATTATCATCAACCCATTGGAGCTCATGTTCATCAAAGGAAGATGGATACATAATCGATCGAATTTTTAATAGTATGGACCTAACATACGGTTCAAATGTGGATGTGAACTCTACAAGTAAAACTAATGTTGACAAGAGAGATGAAGAGGGCTGCAAAGGGCTAGGATAGATACATTTTGGCTATCAGAAACTGAAGTAATGATACTAAACTAAGTGGCTGTCTTCTAAATGTCTTAATCTTACTCCCTCAGCTTGTAAGGCACAAGAACATCAGGAACATAAGGACGGCTTTCTTGTAGGTCACTGCCATTTAGAGGTTATTATAATATTCGATCTTTGGCGGTTGGTAAGGGGTTTTGGGGTTTTGGGGTTTTGGGGTTTTGGGGTTTTGGGGTTTTGGGG